CATATCAGGACACAAATCTGTATAATGACATGGGTATGACACAGGTATTACAAAAAAAAAGGTGAAATATGGGGACATTGGTGACATACTCATTTCTCAAAAAGCTTATAAACCCCACAGAATGAGTTTAATTAGAGAGTCAAGCTGCACAGTCTCTTGTGATGGTTGGGTTTAGGGGTGGGTGAGGGCAATACAATATACAGTTTGGACAGTATAAAATGAATGGAAACCTATGTAATGTCCCCACTTTTCACAAAAACAAACAAGTGTGTGTGTGTGTGTGTGTGTGTGTGTGTGTGTGTGTGTGTGTGTGTGTGCAGGACGAGAGGAACCAGGTGTTAATCGCGTACCTGTGGATCAGGCAGGTGTGGCACGACGCTCACCTGAAGTGGAGTAAGGAGGATTATGACGGTCTGGAGGTGATCCGCATTCCCAGCAGCCTCATCTGGAGACCCGACCTGGTGCTGTATAACAAGTACGCTCGTACTGTACGTCCACACACACACACACACGCTTCACACAGAGACACACATGAACACAAACACACACACTGAAGTAGCCAATCCCAGTTCTCTGGGAAGTCCCTATTTCACAAACACACATTCTCCTCATTGCGTGTGTGTGTGTGTGTGTGTGTGTGTGTGTGATATTTGTGTTTGCATGTGTTTGTGGCTCTATGTGTGTTGCGGTGTGTGTGTGAGTGTGTGGTTTTTTTATGTTTGTATGTGTGTTTGTGGCTCTATGTGTGTTGGGGTGTGTGTGTGAGTGTGTGGTTTTTTATGTTTGTATGTGTGTGTGATATGTGTGTTTGTGGCTCTATGTGTGTTGCGGTGTGTGTGTGAGTGTGTGGTTTTTTATGTTTGTATGTGTGTGTGATATGTGTGTTTGTGGCTCTATGTGTGTTGCGGTGTGTGTGTGGTTTTATGTTTGTATGTGTGTGTGTGTGTGATATTTGTGTTTATATGTGTTTGCGCCTGTATGTGTGTGTTTGTGTGTCCATTTCTGTGTGCATGTTTGTTTGTGATATTTGTCTTATGTGTGTGTGTGTGTGTGTGTGTGCATTTGTTTATGTGTGTGTATTTGTGTGTGTTTTTGTATGCTTGTGCATGTATATGTGGTGTGTGTGTGTGTATGAACGTGCGTGTGTGATGTTTGCGTTTGTATGTGCTTGCACATGTATGTGTGTTTGCATGTATATGTGTGTTTGATTATGTGTGTGTATTTCTGTATTTGTATGCATGTGTGTTTGTACATGTATGTGTATGCTGTGTGTATTTATTTGTGTGTTTACATGTGTGTGTGTGTGGATGGTGTATAAATTTGTTTGTGTTTGTGTATATGCCTGTGTGTATCTATGTGTGTTTGTGTTTACATTTGTGTGTGTGCGCATGCATGCATGTGTGTGTATGTGTATGCATGCATGTGTCTGTGTATGCCTGTGTGTATTTATGTGTATGTGTGCATATATGTGTGTGTATTTTCAGGGCGGATGATGATTTCTCAGGCCCGGTGGACACTAATGTCGTTCTGCGCTACACCGGCGAGATCACGTGGGACGCTCCGGCCATCACCAAGAGCTCCTGTGTGGTGGATGTTTCCTACTTTCCCTTCGACAGCCAGCAGTGCAACCTCACGTTCGGCTCCTGGACATACAACGGCAACCAGGTGCAACACATCTGACAACAGCTGAACTTATTCTCTCCTCTGGCTGCCGTCATCAGTCTCACACTAATGTTTTCCTTCTTCTAAGAAGTCTTGATAACAGCATCCTGGAGCTTTTCAGTTATTATTTCAGCTAATAGGATTGTAGAATAATGACGTGTTGTTCTCTCCTAGTTTCCCAACTATGACCACTTCTGCTGCAGAGAAACACACTCCATCATGATATATACTGAATTACTGAACGTCGTCTCTGCTTCAGGTGGACATCGCAATGGGCAGTGTCAGCGGCGACCTCTCGGACTTCGTGGAGAACGTGGAGTGGGAATGCCACGGGATGCCGGCTACCAAAAACGTGATCATGTACGGCTGCTGCTCGGACCCGTACCCCGACATCACCTACACTGTGCTGCTGCAGCGCCGCAGCTCCTTCTACATCATCAACCTGCTGCTGCCCTGCTTCCTCATCTCCTTCCTGGCGCCGCTCAGCTTCTACCTGCCCGCAGACTCCGGGGAGAAGGTCTCGCTGGGGGTCACCGTGCTGCTGGCGCTGACTGTGTTCCAGATGATGGTGGCGGAGAGCATGCCTCCCTCTGAGAGTGTTCCTCTCATTGGTGAGTCTGATGACCCTGTCCCGACCCAGTAGCGGGTCATGAAAAAGTTTCTACCGGGTCGCAAGATTGTAAAGTGAAAGTGAAAGTGAAGTCTCTTATTGGTGAGATCATCGTATAGTGACCCACACATGACTAAATATTGGGTCATGTAAGAGTTTCTACCGGGCCCCAAGAACATGAAGTGAAAGTGAAGTTAGTCTCTGATGAGTGAGTCTATCGTCTAGTGACCCAGACATGACCCAGTAACATGTGAAAACAGCAACACAAGCTCATTCTGGAAACACAGCCCCGCGGACGTCTCTGGAGGCCGCGATTTTAGTTTAGTTTTTCTCGAGCGAACACTGCGGGGCGGTGTGGCGCCGCTCCGCTCCTCCTCTTTGCGCTTGCCGGCCGACGGCTCGCCTCCTAGTGGAGGGCTTTCCCGATGAAACCAGTTTGTCCGCTTAGCTCGCAGCGTTACGTCGGCGGAGAGGAGGCCCAGAGGAGGAGGAGCCGGCCGTGGGGACGACCGGGATCGAGTCTGGGGAACAGCGGTTCCAGAAATCAGGTAAGAAGAAAAACAGAATCCAAAAAATAAGGGCGAGGACGCGGCGAGATCCGAAAACGCGGTCGAAATCAAAGACGAGGGCTTTTGCTTTTTTTTTTTTTTCTGGACGGCTTTTGCAAACCGTCGCTTGGGTTTAGGGAAGGAGGAGGAGGAAGAGGAGGGCGGCCGGGTCGGCCGATTGGCCGGCCGCCCGGTCGATCGTTCAGCCAGTCGGACGGACAGTCGCTCCACAGCGCCCTCTGGCGGCTTTTCACGCGAGAACAGCGCAGGCGCGAACAGCGCAGTCACGAACGGCGCGCGCTCCCGAGAGGCGCCCGAGACGCGAAAAAGCACGCACAGCGGCCTCTCACTGATTTGCCAAAACAAAAACTGCTCGAATATGTACCTCCCTGGACGTATCTCGCGGCCCGCAGAAACGTCTGCGGGGCTACGTTTCTACAATGAGTGCGGGTTGGAAAACAGTTTCCATCGGGCCGCAAGAACTTAAAGGGAAACTGAAAGTGAAGTTAGTCTCTAATCAGTCAGTTTATCGGCTAATGACCCATTAGTGACCCAGTAGCGGTCGTGAAAGAGATTCTACCGTGCCAAAAGAACGTGTAGTGATCAAGACGAGACCAAGTATCGGGTCATGAAAGCGTTTCTACTGGGCCACAAGAACAAAAAGTGAAAGTGAAGTTAGTCTCTGATCAGTGAGTTTATCGGCTAATGACCCATTAGTGACCCAGTATCGATCGTGAAAAAGCTTAAACCGGGCCACAAGAACTTAAAGTGAAACTGAAAGTAAAGTTAGTCTCTGATCGGTGAGTCTATCGACTAATGACCCATTAGTAACCCAGTACTGATCGTGAAAGAGATTCTTCCGGGCCACAAGAACATAAAGTAAAGGTGTATGTGAAAGTGAAGTTAGTCTCTCATTGGTGAGTTTACCGCCTAGTGACCCAGTCGTGACCCAGTACTGGGTCATGAAAGAGTTTCTAGCGGGCCACAATAATGTAAAGTGAAAGTGAGCCTTGTCAAGTAGGATTTTTCCGCTGCTTTTAAAGTGAAAGTGAAGTCTCTTATTGGTGAGATCATCGTATAGTGACCCAGACATGACTAAATATTGGGTCGTGTAAGAGTTTCTACCGGGCTCCAGTCTATCGTCTAGTGACCCAAAAATGACCCAGTAACATGTGAAAACAGTTTCCATCGGGCCGCAAGAACTTAAAGTGAAACTGGAAGTGAAGTTAGTCTCTGATCAGTCAGTTTATCGGCTAATGACCCATTAGTGACCCAGTACCGATCGTGAAAGAGATTCTACCGGGCCAAAAGAACATAAAGTAAAGGTGTATGTGAAAGTGAAGTTAGTCTCTGATTAGTGAGTCTATCGGCTAATGACCCATTAGTGACCCAGTAACATGTGAAAACAGTATCCATCGGGCTGTAAAGTGAAACTGAAAGTAAAGTTAGTCTCTGATCGGTGAGTCAGTCGACTAATGACCCATTAGTGACCCAGTACCGATCGTGAAAGAGATTCTTCCGGGCCACAAGAACATAAAGTAAAGGTGTATGTGAAAGCGAAGTTAGTCTCTCATTGGTGAGTTTACCGCCTAGTGACCCAGTCGTGACCCAGTACTGGGTCATGAAAGAGTTTCTGCCGGGCCACAATAATGTAAAGTGAAAGTGAGCCTTGTCAAGTAGGATTTTTCCACTGCTTTTAACTCATCCAAGTGCACACACACACACACATTTTGAGTGAGGGGTGAAAGCACACACACACACACACACACACACAGTGAGCACACACCCAGAGCAGAGTTAGGGGTTCGGTGCCTTGCTCAAGGGCATCTCCACTGGGTACAGAAGATTTTGAAAGTGGCACAGAGAAAGCACTGAGACCAGCTGAGAGCACTAGAAGGTTGGACATTTTTCGACTTTATGCAAATGTATAGCGAAAAGCACCAGACAGCAACCAATTACTGTGAAATATAGGCAAGCCAAGAGTTACTGGAACTGGATTACTTTGCTGAAACCACTTACATGTGGGCGACTATGAGAATGTCACATTTTCTGTTTACATAAACAACCTGAGCCCTATAACCCTGTAAGTGATGTAACTTGATATATGGCATTTGCAAACAAGCAAGCCGCTGTTTAGTACCTCTGTTCATATATTTTCCAGCTAAATACTACATAGCGACGATGACCATGATCACGGCGTCCACCGCTCTGACCATCTTCATCATGAACATTCATTTCTGCGGCGCAGAGGCCAAACCGGTGCCGTACTGGGCCAAAGTGCTCATCATCGACTACATGTCCAAGATCTTCTTCGTCTATGAGGTAGGCCTATGACAGTATCCAGTTTTCCTGTTGCGATTAATTGCTGACGCTTTTATTATGGTATACGGTAATAACCAAAAAAATATTAGTTATCAGTCGTTTAAGGAGGAGCTATCAGACCTTTAGGGTGGAGCTATCAGTCCTTTAGGGAGGAGCTATCAGTCCTTTAGGGAGGAGCTATCAGTCCTTTAGGGAGGAGCTATCAGTCCTTTAAGGAGGAGCTATCAGTCCTTTAGGGAGGAGCTATCAGTCCTTTAGGGAGGAGCTATCAGTCCTTTAAGGAGGAGCTATCAGTCCTTTAGGGTGGAGCTATCAGTCCTTTAAGGTGGAGCTATCAGTCCTTTAGGGAGGAGCTATCAGTCCTTTAAGGAGGAGCTATCAGTCCTTTAGGGAGGAGCTATCAGTCCTTTAGGGAGGAGCTATCAGTCCTTTAGGGAGGAGCTATCAGTCCTTTAGGGAGTAGCTATTAGTCCTTTAGGGAGGAGCTATCAGTCCTTTAGGGAGGAGCTATCAGTCCTTTAGGGTGGAGCTATCAGTCCTTTAGGGAGGAGCTATCACTCCTTTAGGGAGTAGCTATCAGTCCTTTAGGGAGGAGCTATCAGTCCTTTAGGGAGGAGCTATCAGTCCTTTAGGGAGTAGCTATTAGTCCTTTAGGGAGGAGCTATCAGTCCTTTAGGGTGGAGCTATCAGTCCTTTAGGGAGGAGCTATCAGTCCTTTAGGGAGTAGCTATTAGTCCTTTAGGGAGGAGCTATCAGTCCTTTAGGGAGGAGCTATCAGTCCTTTAGGGTGGAGCTATCAGTCCTTTAGGGAGGAGCTATCAGTCCTTTAGGGTGGAGCTATCAGTCCTTTAGGGAGGAGCTATCACTCCTTTAGGGAGTAGCTATCAGTCCTTTAGGGAGGAGCTATCAGTCCTTTAGGGAGGAGCTATCAGTCCTTTAGGGAGTAGCTATTAGTCCTTTAGGGAGGAGCTATCAGTCCTTTAGGGTGGAGCTATCAGTCCTTTAGGGAGGAGCTATCAGTCCTTTAGGGAGTAGCTATTAGTCCTTTAGGGAGGAGCTATCAGTCCTTTAGGGAGGAGCTATCAGTCCTTTAGGGTGGAGCTATCAGTCCTTTAGGGAGGAGCTATTTGTCCTTTAAGGAGGAGCTATTAGTCCTTTAGGGAGGAGCTATCAGTCCTTTAAGGAGGAGCTATCAGTCCTTTAAGGAGGAGCTATCAGTCCTTTAGGGTGGAGCTATCAGTCCTTTAGGGAGGAGCTATCAGTCCTTTAAGGTGGAGCTATCAGTCCTTTAGGGTGGAGCTATCAGTCCTTTAGGGTGGAGCTATCAGTTTTTTAAGGTGGAGCTATCAGTCCTTTAGGGAGGAGCTATCAGTCCTTTAAGGAGGAGCTATCAGTCCTTTAAGGAGGAGCTATCAGTCCTTTAAGGTGGCGCTATCAGTCCTTTAAGGAGGAGCTATCAGTCCTTTAAGGAGGAGCTATCAGTCCTTTAGGGAGGAGCTATCAGTCATTTAGGGAAGAGCATTGATCAGTTTGATTCTGTGATGTACAACCATTGCTAATACATTCAGAATATTCTTTAAAAGCACTCTAAATGTTTAAACAATAATTATTCACTCTATGTTGAAGTGTCCATCAATATTGTGCTTGCTCATCATCATGATATATTGAATTACTGGATATCTGCATATGTCTTTATTGAGGTTGGAGAGAGCTGTGCGTCTCCGTTCGGACAGGCGGAGGAGTCAGAGTCCTTCCACAGTCAGAATCACCACCGAAAACACAAGCTTCATCACCCTAAAGGGAAAATATCAGGATCTCCGCCACCCTGCTGCCCGGAGGACCACAAATCCCCCTTCGTCCTGGGCTGCGAGAGCTGTGTTTACTGTGGTTTTCGCTCTGGAAATCTGGCCTGCGACACAAAGCTGCTCCGCAATGTTGAATACATCGCCAACTGCTTCCGCGAGCAGAAGACCACCGCCCTGAAGGTGGCCGAGTGGAAGAAAGTGGCCAAGGTGATGGACCGATTCTTCATGTGGATATTTTTCATCATGGTCTTCCTCATGAGTATCCTCATCATCGGAAAAGCACCAACAACCAACAACGACATTTGACTATATAAGTCCTTCCCCACCACATTAATTGGTAATAGTTCAACCAAAACTGAAAGTTCTGCCATCTCATTTCCTAGTGCTGTGGTGAAAAATCATTTGACAAATCAATACTGTGTTTTCAACATCCATCAATATTCTCTCATGAATCAAATCTGAAATTAGTTTTTAACAGCAGACGGCGCTCTGAGCTAGTTTTTAAACATTAGATGGGGCTCTAATCTAGTTTTTAACAGCAGGCGGCGCTCTAGGCTATCTAGGCTAGTTTTTAACAGCCGACGGCGCTCTAGGCTAGTATTTAAACAGTAGATGGCGCTCTAAGCTAGTTTTTAACAGCAGACAGCGCTCTAGGCTATCTAGGCTAGTTTTTAACAGCCGACGGCGCTCTAGGCTAGTTTTAACAGCAGACGGCGCTCTAGGCTATCTAGGCTCGTTTTTAACAGCCGACGGCGCTCTAGGCTAGTATTTAAACAGTAGATGGCGCTCTAAGCTAGTTTTTTAACAGCAGACAGCGCTCTAGGCTATCTAGGCTAGTTTTTAACAGCCGACGGCGCTCTAGGCTAGTTTTAACAGCAGACGGCGCTCTAGGCTATCTAGGCTAGTTTTTAACAGCCGACGGCGCTCTAGGCTAGTTTTTAAACTGTAGATGGCGCTCTAAGCTAGTTTTTTAACAGCAGACGTCGCTCTAGGTTAGTTTTTAAACAACAGACAGCGCTCTGAGCTAGTTTTTAAACAGTAGATGGGGCTCTAATCTAGTTTTTAACAGCAGGTGGCGCTCTAGGCTATCTAGGCTAGTTTTTAACAGCAGGTGGCGCTCTAGGCTATCAAGGCTAGTTTTAACAGCAGACGGCGCTCTAGGCTATCTAGGCTAGTTTTTAACAGCAGGCGACGCTCTAGGCTAGTATTTAAACAGTAGATGGCGCTCTAAGCTAGTTTTTTAACAGCAGACAGCGCTCTAGGCTATCTAGGCTAGTTTTTAACAGCCGACGGCGCTCTAGGCTAGTTTTAACAGCAGACGGCGCTCTAGGCTATCTAGGCTAGTTTTTAACAGCCGACGGGGCTCTAGGCTAGTTTTTAAACTGTAGATGGCACTCTAAGCTAGTTTTTTAACAGCAGACGTCGCTCTAGGCTAGTTTTTAAACAACAGACAGTGCTCTGAGCTACTTTTTAAACAGTAGATGGGGCTCTAATCTAGTTTTTAACAGCAGGTGGCGCTCTAGGCTAGTTTTTAACAGCAGGTGGCGCTCTAGGCTATCAAGGCTAGTTTTAACAGCAGACGGCGCTCTAGGCTATCTAGGCTAGTTTTTAACAGCAGACGGCGCTCTAGGCTAGTTTTAAAACTGCAGATGGTGCTCTAGGCTAGTTTTTAAACAGTAGATGGTGCTATAATCTAGTTTTTAACAGCAGATCGCACTCTAGGCTATAGTTTTTAACAGCAGATGGCACTCTAGGCTAGTTTTAAAACTGCAGATGGCACTTTAGGCTAGTTTTTAAACAGTAGATGGCGCTCTAGGCTAATTTTTAACAACATACGGCACTCTAGGATAGTTTTAACAGCAGATGGCGCTCTAGGCTAGTTTTTAGACAGCAGATGGTGCTCTAGGCTATTTTTTAACAGCAGAGGGCGCTCTAGGATAGTTTTTAACAGCAGAGGGCGCTCTAGGATAGTTTATAACAGCAGAGGGCGCTCTAGGATAGTTTTTAACAGCAGAGGGCGCTCTAGGATAGTTTTTAACAGCAGAGGGGACACACTGTTTTCTCATTTCATATTCCGTTTCTCTAGGAACTGCGTCACAATATGAATAAAAATGGTCCCAGCTTCTAGTTCATGCAGACTTTAATAGCAGATGGTACTCTAAAATACAAGAGTGTAATAGATCCCTTTAAAGTAAGCATGCTCACACTATTATTTATTCTTATCTGAAAACAAGATCAACATCACACATCCTTCTTTCCTTAATTTATGAAGGTTTAGATATGCAAAAGATGAAATGACTATGCATTGCAGATGGATTTGTATGTTAAAGTTAACGTCAATGTTTCTTCCTAACCGTTTGTTATTGATTCAGTTTGTGCTGTATTATGCATCACGCTGGAGCCTCTGTGTTTGTGTGCATGTGTGTGTGTGTGTGTGTGTGTGTGTGTCTGTAAGGTAAGCTGAGTATTAATAATGCAGGCTATTGCTTCTCAATGAGCACATAAGTTATGTCCGTCTTTCTGATAAGAGATCCGCTATTCTTCATTAGGTCTGTCACCCGTCTTACATTACAGGAGCCTGTCACACACACACACAAACACACATGAAGATGAGCAAATGAGGACATGGGTGTAAAGCTGGTGATAATAAGTGTAGACTGATAAACTCATCCACACTGAATAATATGATTATGTTTAGTATATGAATACTAATCTATATTTTGAATTAGAGTAAATGGTAAATAAATTAAAGTTAATTTAAATGTCATACTGAATTTCCTTGGCACTCTAGGCTAGTTTTTGAACAGTAGATGGCGCTCTAGGCTAGTTTTTAAACAGTAGATGGCACTCTAGGCTAGTTTTTAAACAGTAGATGGCGCTCTAGGCTAGTTTTTAAACAGTAGATGGCGCTCTAGGCTAGTTTTTAAACAGTAGATGGCACTCTAGGCTAGTTATTAAACAGTAGATGGCGCTCTAGGCTACTTCTGTTTTACAGCAGACGTCACTCTAGGCTAGTTTTTAACAGCAGATAGCGCTCTAGACTAGTTTTTAAACAGTAGATGGCGCTCTAGACTAGTTTTTAAACAGTAGATGGCGCTCTAGACTAGTTTTTAAACAGTAGATGGCGCTCTAGGCTAGTTTTTTACAGCAGATGGTGCTTAAGGCTAGTTTTAGCCTTTAGTTTTAATTTAATTTAGTTGTAAAGCTGGTGAAAATAAGTGTAGACTGATATAAGACTGATTAAATCATCCACACTGAATAATATGATTAAGTTTAGTATATCAATACTAATCTATACTTTGAATTAGAGTAAATGGTAAATGAATGAAGGTTAATGTAAATGTCATACTGAATATCCTAAATGTTTTCCATCTAATTATTGTTTTATGTTTTTGACATATGATTTATTTTGTTTATATTTTATACTTTGACACACAGAAGAATTAAACTGAATTAAATTTACAAAGCTGAATCATTTATATATATATATATATATATATATATATATATATATATATATATATATATATATATATATATATAAATTTACAAAGCTGAATAGACACTTTGCAAGCATTTAATCCTTTAAAATATATATATTTTGAAGGATTAAATGCTTGCAAAGTGTCTACTTTAGTGTTTAAGATTTTGAGAAAACAAAATATCAAAATATGGGTGCAGTAATGTTCATTGTGATTCAATGTATTAATGTCAATATTAAACACCATATTTATTTCTGAGCTGTACTTATTAAAATAAATCAAAGAATAAATTCAGTCTGAAATCTTGTATAAAATAGCGGTTTGAAACATTTGACCCAACATTGGGTATACACACACACACACACACATATATATATATATATATATATATATATATTTTTTTTTTTTTTTTTTTTTTTTTTTTTTTTTTTTAAGAGTCTATACATCCTCGTGTGTATTTATACATAATAAATATACAATTTAAACTTTTTTTTTTGGCTGCATTTAATCGCCATCATTTGACAACACTGGTGTTTACTATCACTTAGTACAAAGTCTAGCCAGTGTGCAAATAAGAAAGTTAACCCAGAGTTAAAGAATGTAAATTGTTTATGAGCAATGTGAAACGGGAAACAAAATGACCCAGGATTCCGATCAGAATGACCCAGGGGTTAACTACAGGTAGCTCAAGACAAGTGTGTTTTTCCTTTTCTCTTCATGATTGGCTCTGTCCAGCAGAGGGCAGCAGATCCTCACGGTTTAAACTCAACGCAGTCAACATCTGCTCCAGCGCATCCAGTGCACTCAGAAAGTTACACATTACTATAGTCTAGCACTTTGCATTAATGTATGCATGGCCTGGTAAAAAAAAAAAAAAGCCTATTTCGTTATTTACAAATAAGCACCTTTAAGCCAACCCATATAGATACTATAGTGTTTAAAGCATACTGTAGTAAAGTACTTTTAATTTATTTGTTGTGATGATTCTGCAGTAGTTCTTACAGTAACAACTACAGTAATATAAACAAATGATCCAGTGCTGTAGATTTCTACTACTGTAGGGTGTATTATACTACAATACAATCTAATTTAACAATACTAATAATAGAAAATATTATTATTAGTGGGTTTCCTCAGGGTGCTAGTTTCCCCCACAGTTCAAACGCATGACCTATAGGGGAATTGATTAACTAAATTGGAGTGTGTATGGGTGTGTATGGGTGTTTCCCAGTGATGGGTTGCAGCTGGAAGGCCATCCGCTTCGTAAAACATATGCTGGATAAGTTGGTGGTTCATTCCGCTGTGGCGACCCCAGATTAATAAAGGGACTAGCTGAAGGAAAATGACTGAAATGAATGAATGATACTGCATAATGTTATGGAGTGCTGATGTATTGTACACTAATATACACAACAGTTTACTGTAGTAAAAACGAAATAATACTAATGATAGTAATACATTTATTTTTAAATAATAATAAATAAACTAAAAGGACTACTGAAATTTTTATTTTACAACCACACAATATACACAACAACTTCGTACTACAATACACTGTAGCTTTAAAACTAGCAGGCCTAAATACTATTTACTACAGTACGTTTCAAAAACTCTATTTACTCTGGCAAATTAGACACTAGTACTTATTTTAATAGTGACTAGTAACTATTCTGTTGTTACTAGTAAAAAATTTCCCACTGATTTCTATGGGATTTGTCATTGAGATATACGATTCAGTGCCTAAAATAGGTACTTCTATCTAATTAATAATAGGCCTACTAGTATCTAAAATTTAAGTACTAGTAGCAGTATGTATTATTTAGGAACTAGTATCTAATTAATAAGTATTAGTACCTAATGATTAACTACTAGTACATAAAAATATGTACTAGTCCCAGCTGGAATACAGTTAAAACTGCACAGTTGGTATCTCAATGACAGATCCCACTGAAAACAATGGACAAATTTCAAATTTGTCACTAGTAACAACATAATAGTTACTAGTCACTATTAAAATAGTACTATTATCTAATAAATTAGATCTAGTATCTATTTAATAAGTACTAGTACC